TTTCCAAAGTTGCAACAATATCTGATAATATAATATGATTAATATTATCTCAGACTCCTAATGTTGGTCTGGTTGGGATGTGTGTTTGGGTCACTGTTCATTGAATGAAGCATTTTTTTTCTTTTTTTTTTTTAATTCTTTTTTTTCTTTTTGGATCCCACCCGGTGATGCTCAAGGCTGACTCCTGGCTCTGCACTCAGGAATCACTCCTGGCGGTGCTCAGGGGACCCTATGGGATTCCGGGGATCGAACCCGGGTCGGCCACATGCCAGACCAACGCCCTCCCCGCTGTGCTATCTCTCCAGCCCCTGATTAAGCATTTCTTAAAGACAAATGAACCAGAATTAACAGTTTATCCAGGTCTGGGGGCTTTCCAGGATGCGAAATTTCCGGTGTGAAAAGCTAGGAAATTTTTGGACAAACCAGAGTCCTCAAAAACTGTGTTTTGTTGATTAGAAAAATAGCAACCGAATAGTTTACCTCAGCCTCTATTATTTATCTTAAACCTCTGTCCTTTGCTTGACAGATTGGCTGCACCTACAGATATCTTATCAAAGCTGCAGATCGGGATGTAGACAAGAATAATTTTTTGAGGTGGGGGTCACACCTGGCGATTTTAAAGCTTTTTTTTTTAGGTCACGCCTGGCGATGCACTCAGAAATTACTCCTGGTGGTGCTCGGGGGACCCTATGGGATGCCGGAGAACTTCCCCTCCCCCCGGTCTGGCCCCTTAAAGCTGCTTTTTCTAAACCTCAGCTTTGTTGAATATTATGCAGCAAAGAGCAGCTTTGAGTTTAAGGCTGCACTGCCACATTGTTAGAATTCAAGACATTCTAAGTCAAGTCACAGACGAGCCTAAGGAATGGAGGAAAGTTTGAGAGCATCAGGTGCAGCTTTGAAATTGTTTCCTTACCTGGGGGCAAGAGTCTGAACCACACCTGGTCTGTTCAGGGGCTACACCTGGCTCTGTGTTGAGGGGTGACCCCTGGCAGCACCTGGGGACTGTCACTAGCACAGTGAGTTAGGCACTTGCTTTGCACTCGGCCAACCCAGCTTGGATGGATCCTGGGACCCTACGTGGACCCCTGAGCCTGCCGGAAGTGACCCTTGAGTGCTGGGCTAGGTGTACTCCCGAAACCAAAAATTAGTTATATTAAGTTTAAGAGGGCTGGAGCGATAGCACAGTGGGTAGGACATTTGCCTTGCATGCGGCCAACCTGGCCGACCCGTGTTCGATTCCTCTGCCCCTCTCAGAGAGCCCGGCAAGCTACCGAGAGTATCTCTCCCGCACAGCAAAGCCTGGCAAGCTCCCCGTGACGTATTCGATATGCCAAACACAGTCACAACAAGTCTCATGATGGAGACGTTACTGGGCCCGCTCGAGCAAATCGATGAACAACGGGAGGACAGTGCTACAGTGCTAAGTTAAAAAAACCAGGTGTGTGGGACCCGGGGCTGAGATCTCCAAGCCTGCTCAGGTCGGGACTGGGACTCCTCCACCCAGACCCCCAGTTTTCCAGTAACTTGGCAATCACACCCACAAACTGGTCCCAGCACCATGAAATCCCATCAACAGCCAAGATCCAGAGACTATAAAACAGAGTTCTCGGAAGAGAATGATGCAGAATCTCACACGGCAGAGCCTGGCAAGCTCCCCGTGGCGTCTTCGAGATGCCAAACACAGTCACAACAAGTCTCACCATGGAGACGTTCCTGGTGCCCGCTCGAGCAAATCGATGAACCGCGGGAGGATGGTGACAGTGACACACACACACACACACAAGGCTCAACCTTTAACAGCATGTTAGTAATCTCTTATAGAAGGGCCTAATGGCCCCTGGGTTAAATACAATAATCTTCACACTCTTTCCTCTAAGGAAACTTTTTTGTAGCGTTTTCAGCGGTTTTTCATGACAAACAAGACGAAATCAATTATTTCAGTTCTGCTTTGGGGCAGGGGTTGGGGTTTGGGATGGAAACACTTGAAATAGGGTGGTGGGAAGGTGTCATGGGGGTGGTATTGGTGTTCAGAAATTAAATGTCATCAAATATTATGAACTACTTTAGCACTGTAGCACTGTTCTCCTGTTGTTCATTGATTTGCTCGAGCGGGCCCAGTAGCGTCTCCATCGTGAGACTTGTTACTGTGTTTGGCATCTCGAATACGTCATGGGGAGCTTGCCAGGCTTTGCCGTGCGGGAGAGATCCTCTCGGTAGCTGGCCAGGCTCTCCGAGAGGGGCGGAGGAATCGAACCCAGCTCAGTTGGGCCAGCTGCGCACACAAGGCAAACGCCCTACTGCTGTGCTATCGCTCCAGCCATTACAATTAATTGATTACAATTCATTGATCACAGCCAGTGAACTACTTTAGGAAACAAAAAGAAAGAAATAATAAAAAGTGAGATCTGAGCAGCCAGGACAGGGCAGAACCAAGGATCCAGTGGGAACTGCAGAAGTTTCAGGGGACAATTCGGCCATTGATCAGATGACTTGTTGAAAACTGTGGCTTGTTGTGTTCAGGTGCAAGGTCTGGACGGAGTCCTTGGCAGAAGGGGGACCCTCCAGTGGGTAATACTGAGCCCACCAGGCAGGGGGCAGCAGAGCTGGAGCTCAGGGGACAGCCCTGGCATCGGCTCTGGGGGTGGGATCAATAGATCAATAGGGCCGATCAATCAATAGTGTGGATTGGATATGCAGAGAACGGGGTGGGGGGGCATGGAGAGGGGACTGGCTGGAGGTGTCCAACTTTGAAGGGTCATTATTGGATGTATGAAATCAAGAGGACACAGGGAAATAAAACAGCCTTTGACTTGATTCATCTGAGTGGAGAAATCGTCAGTGAACTATTAGAGGGATAGATAGTCCAGCGGGGAGGGCGTTTGCTTGGCACGTGACCGACCGGGGTTCGATCCCCGGCATCCTATTGGGTCCCCCAAGCCCCGCCAGGAGTGATTCCTGAGTGCAGAGCCAGGAGTCAACCCCGAGCATCTATGGGAGTGACCCAAAAAAGCTTAAAAAAAAAAAGACAACTGGAGGTTAGTTCCAGAGCCGTGCATTTGAGAATGAGTTGTATTTTTGTCCTTCGGAGGGTTTTTGGTGGTGGGTGAGTGGAAACGGGACTGGAATGCGGCGAGAAAGGACGCCCACGGCCACGGTCACTCATGCTGGAGGATCAAGGGTCCAGGGAGAGATGGTGGAGGAAGGTCAGTGGAAGAGAAGGCCAAGGAGGCCCACGTGGACACTGGAACGGCCCAGGAGGGGAGCACAATGTTGGCCTCTCCCAGCTTCTCTGTGGCAACCCATTTCTTTGAGAAGAGGGATGGAGTTCTACCTGGCAGCTCAGGGCTGACTCCTGGCTCTGTGCTCAGCCCTGGCAGTACTCGGGGGACCTCATGGGTCCTGGGGTAAAACTGGGGTAGAGTCTCAGCCATGTGCAAGGCAAATGCCTTAATCCCTGTGCTATAACTTCGACCCCAGCTTGAACACTTTATAGAAATGATTTCACGCGGCAAAGACATACAGAAACATTCAAAATTTATTTAGAAGTGATACTTTGATTTTAAATAATATAAAAATAAACAGGTATTTATTCCAACATCTGTATATTACATAAATTAATTTAAATATAATATTTGTCCGTGGCACCAAAATATTCACACACACACACACATTTATAATTCTAGGGTTCAATCAGAAGGTAGATGTCAATAAATCACTTTTTCTTAATCAATACGTTTAATATTAACACTATTCATTCTTTAGATCATAAAACATTTCAAATCTAAGTCTTAAAAGGAAAATTCCCCTGAGTTCTCTTTAAAAAAGAAATTTCATTTTCTCCAAGAGATTTTAAATGCCTTTTAAAATAATTTATAAACACTAGTGTTCTGTAATCAGCACTTAATTTAACACAATTAAAAATCCAGTCTGAGCAGAAGCTCTGGCTGAAGGGATGAATTTTCCACAGGTCCTTCAAAAATGTCATAGAGCTCTGCCTCAAGGTAAGACTCTTCTGTGATAATGAGACCCCACATTCTTATCTGACATCTGAATACACCCAGTGAAGTCGGGTTCCTGGTATTTTGTTCACAATATTGGCTCAAGCCAATCAACGCTTCAGAGTTCACGGAACAATGCAGAGAGGTAATCCCAAAGGGATATTGATTCTGACATTTGGAAAAATGGGGGAAAAAAAGTGACAGCACACATACGCCTACTTTGTAACATCCGAGTAAAACATAAATAACGGTCTTCAATAAATTAGATAATATAATATACAGTACCAGAAATGTTGGTCGACAATGAGATGTGGAAGAGAGACCATGACCTGGGGGAACTCTTCAGGAGTTTCACTATGTGGCTGAAATGAAGACATTAGAAACTTCAGAACCCATCTAGACAGATCTAGAACCAGTCTAGAACCTGTCTGGAAATGTCTAGTGCCTGTCTAGATGGGTCTAGAATCTGTCTAGACGGGTCTAGAACCTGTCTGGAGCCCCCCAGTCATGGCGTCTAGTCCTGAGCTGAGGTTTTCTGGAAAACGGTTTCAGAAGTTCAGATAGGAACAAAGAGAGTCCAAGGAAGAGCGAGGTTAGATCTTCAAACGGAGGAAAAACAAGTCAAGGATTCTTTTTTAGCCAAAGTGGCTAAAAAGACGAGAGAAAAGGGGGTCTGAAGTAGGTAGTGGTTTCAGATGCACCGGAAGTAACAGTGTAAAATGACACCTGGCAACGGACACATCGTTTGCTTGTGACACAAGCACTTCGAGTTCCAACACCTGTTTTGGGTCTCAACAACCTGGAAACGGAAATTCAAGTAAACAGGCCTTGGCCTCATGGCCCGCGCGCCCATTTGAACTGTGTGAATACTGTCTCGGGCTGGAAGCGACAGGCCTCCGAGACCCTCTCCTCAACAGGAGCGACACCGGGAGCTGCATATAAATGAATCACAGCGGGTCCATGCAACTGTCCGTATAAATAAATAAATAGAGTCCCGGGCGCCTACAGTTCCGTACTGCGCTCCTTAATGAGGACCGTGGGGTTGAGGTCGTCCAGGCCTGAGTGCGAGGCGCTGGCGTTGATGGTGACGGCCTTGGGGAGCGCCGCGTCCTGCACGCTGAAGGCCGTGAGGGGACAGCCCTTCACGTTGTGGCAGATCAGGGACTGCAGGGAGGCCGTGTTGACGATCCGGAACCCCACCTCGCCTCCGAAGGTGCTGGGCTTCCAGTACTCGGGGGAGCAGATGGGGTTGCCCATGAGGCCCTTCAGGGAGAAGGGGGCGCCCAGCTCCACCATGGTCTCCCCGAAGATGGCATCTGGCCGGGGCTTCTCCACCAGGAGGGCAGGGTACAGTTCCATGGCATCGATGTCCCCGTAGAGAGCCTCCAACTCCGCCGCCATCTCCTTCTCTCCTGGGGTGACAGAGACACGTCAGGGCAAAATACAAGCTCCCTGGTTTGCTCAGCTGGCTCCCAATGGCTCTATGTCCAGTGGCCACTTGGCCCTGGGTGACCGTGATGATCGTTGAGATTACGATTGTTTATGACTATTTTAAAAAATTTTTCTTTTCTTTTTGGGTCATTCCTAGTGATGCTCAGGGGTTCCTCCTGGCTCTGTACTGAGGTATCACTCCTTGTGGTACTCGGGGGACCATATGGGATGCTGGGAATTGAACCCGGGTCGACCGTGTTCAAGGCAAATGCCCTCCCTGCTGGACTATCACTCCGGCTCCTGTTTTTATGACGATTATAGATTTGTTCCCAATGGTTCTACTTCCAAGGGCCACTTGGTCCGGGGTGACCGTGATGATCATTTAAATTACATGATCAAGATTGTTTATGACTATTTTTTAAATTTTTCTTCTTTTTGGGTCACATCCAGTGATGCTCGGGTTTGACTCCTGGCTCTGCACTCAGGAATTCTGCCTGGCGGTGCTCGGGGGTCTCTGTGGGGTGCAGCACCCTCCCTGCTGTGCTATTAGATGGGTCACTCAGGTCCCGGTTCTCACCTGTAAGTTCTTCGAAGGATCTGTAGGGCTTGAGCAAGAAGCGCTTGCGGTACTCATTGAAGGACTGGTACTTCATCTCCCGGCTCTGGTCGATGGATGCCTGGGCCACTTTCTGGACGGCAGGGGCCACGTTCCTTCCACCGGCGACCTGTGGGCAACGCACCAAGCATAAACCAGCAGCTAAAGGCAGAGCCAGGATTCCATTTCAGAGAAATTCCTTGGCTGCCAAGTCAGGAAGGCCAAGGCCGAGATATAAACATTTCCTGTGTACAGCACCCATGTCTCTCCTTGCAGAGGGTTCTACCCTCACTAAGGCTATAAAAGTAGATGTAAAAGTATCGCTGGTGGTGGAAAATGGGCCCTGGTGGAGGGATGGGTACGCAATCATTGTGTAACTGAAACCCAAGCACGAAAGTGTGTAAGTCTACAACTGTACCTCATGGTGTTATAATAATATAAACTAATTAAAAATATATTTTATATTTAAAAATATTTTATATTTAAATATATATTTTGTATTTATAAAATATAAATTAATTTCACTTATAATAATATATAATATAGAATAATATAAATTATTTCATTTATAATAATGTAAATTAATTTTTTTAAAGTAGATATAAAAGGATTCAAAGCATATACATTAAGAAACAAATAAAAGTTGTAAAAGAAATAAAGGTGAAAAGGTATAAAAGCTCATTAATTAAAAAATGTTAGAAAAATGTTACTCCTGACACTGATCACTCCAGTGCTCAGGGACTATGTGGTCCCAGGGGTGGAACTAGGATCAATCACATGTCAATAGCACCTTAACCCTCAGACTCTCCCTCCAGCCCTGAAAACATTATTTACTTTTTTCTTAAGCTTTTTGAGTCCCACCCACGATGCTCAGGGCTGACTCCTGGCTCTGCACTCAGGAATCACTCCTGGTGGTGCTCGGGGGAACCCTATGGGATGCTGGGAATCGAACCCGGGTTGGCCACGTGCCAGGCCAATGCCCTCCCCGCTGTGCTATTGCTCCAGCCCCATTAGACCAGCCTGCTGAGACTCACCCTGCCGGCGATCTGCCTGCTGAAAGACTCCACGAACCGGGTGAGCCCATGCTGCAGGAGCACCGAGTTGTTGTAGAGGAACTCCTGGTAGCTGTACTCCTGGCCATCGATGAGGAAACTGTCTGGCAGCAGCGGGTGCCAGTGGTAGAGTGTGTTGAACTCGGAGGCGATGCGGTTCTGGTACTGGAACTGCTGCTTGAAGAGCAGCTCCGGGTCGAACTTCAGCTTGAAGTTGTAGCCACTCAGGTGCTGCACGTAATCCTCGATCACGATCTTGATGGTTTCCCCTGGTGGCCGAGAGGGATTCAGGAAGGTCATGATAAAAATAAATGCAGTGCAGACAGGAGTCACAGCCCAGCGGGGAGGGTGTTGCCTGGCACAAAGCCGACCCCGGTTTGATCCCCGGCATCCCAAAGGGTCCCCCGAGCACCGCCAGGAGGGATCCCTGAGTGCAGAGCCAGGAGTCAGCCCTGAGCATCGCCGGGTGGGACCCAAAAAGCCAAAAATAAATAAAATAAATGTACCGATCATTGGATAACTGAAACCCAAGCACAAAAATTCCTAAGTCTACAACTGCACCTTATGGTGTTTCCCTAATAAAAATTTAGGAAAAATAAAATAAAATAAATGTACATATTAGTTTAGAGGGGGGCGGGGAATGATACCTATCCAAGCCCCCTTTCCTCCTGGCTCTGAACTCAGGTCTCTCCTGAAAGGGCTCAGAGGATCCTATGTGGTGCCAGGAATCGAACCCGGGCTGGCCACATGCAAGGCCAGGACCTTCTCCTACTGTGGTATCTTTCCAGCCCTAGTCTGGCCGTTTTTTTTTTCTTGTTTTGCTTTTTGAGTCCCACCCGGCGATGCTCAGGGCTGACTCCTGGCTCTGCACTCAGGGATCACTCCTGGCAGGGGATGCCGGGGCTCGAACCCGGGTCGGCCACATGCAAGGCCAATGCCTTCCCCGCTGTGCTATCGCTCCAGCCCCCGAAAGGTCATTTTTTGTCTGACCCCAAAGTGAAGGAGAGTTTCACCTGCTCACACCACCCAAACCCAAGGTCCATGAGACCATGCATTCGGTCCCCCGTCCCCCCGGGATCCCGGCCACCCCCGGCCCGGAGGGCGGCCCCCGGCAGCTCACCAATCAGTATCAGCCGGCTGGTCTGGAACAGCTGCTCATCCTCCCACTCTGGGTGCTCCTCCCGGAGTACGTCACACACACGGTTGTGCTCCCGCAGCCAGATGGTGGCGTACATCATGAGTCCCGGCACCATCCCGAACAACTCCTGGCCCACGGCAAAGCGCAGGTGCTCGGGCACGTGTGGGGGGTAGATCATAGACACCTGCGTGTCCCCGACGGTGGGCGGGTACATCTCTCCATCGATGATCTGAAAGGGATGGGGGTGGGGGGGACTGAGTCAGCTGGTTCAGGGCATTCCTGGCTCCCCCAGAGGCTTCATTTATTTGGGCGGTGGGTGGGGGGGGGGTGGTTACAGGCACACCCGGTGATGCTCAGGGCTGACTCCTGACTCTGCACTCAGGGATCACTCCTGGCCATGCCTGGGGGACCCTATGGGATGCTGAGGATCGAACCCGGGTCAGCCGAGTGCAAGGCAAACACCCTCCAGGCTAGTCTATGGCTCCAGACCTCCCTCCCTCCCTCCTTCCTTCCTTCCTTCCTTCCTTCCTTCCTTTTATTATTATTATTATTATTATTATTATTATTTGCTTTTTGGGTCCCACCCAGCTATGCTCAGGGCTGACTCCTGGCTCTGCACCAGGAATCACTCCTGGCGGGGACCTGGAGACCATATGGGAGGTTGGTTACACCAAGGCAAATGCCCTATTCATTATCTTATGCTCCACCCCTGTGACTCCTAATTCTCTTTTTTGTGTGTATGTTTTGTTTTTTGGGTCACACTCAGCAATGCTCAAGGGTGACTCCTGGCTCTGCACTCAGGAATCACACTGGTGGTGCTCAGGGGACCCTATGGGATGCTGAGAATCGAACCCGGGTCGGCCACGTGCCAGGCAAACGCCCTCCCCCCTGTGCTGTCGCTCCAGCCCCTCATATCATTCTTTTAAAATAATTAATTAATTAATTAATATTTTGGGGGGTCACACCCAGCGATGCTCAGGGCTGACTCCCAGCTCTGCACTCAGGGATCACTCCTGGTGGGGCTCGGGGGACCCTCTGGGATATTGGAAATCGAACCCAGGTCGGCTGTGTGCCAGGCAAACGCCCTCCCCACTGTGCTGTCGCTCCAGCCCCTCATACTAGTCTTTTAAAAATTTAATTAATATTTGAGGTTCCCACCCAGCGATGCTCAAGGCTGACTCCTGGCTCGGCACTCAGGGATCACTCCTGGCGGTGCTCGGGGGACCCTATGGGATGCCGGGGATTACACCCGGGTTGGCCACGTGCAAGGCAATGCCCTCCCCGCTGTGCTATCACTCCAGCCCCTGTAATTGCTAGCTGTTAAGGCAACATGCAACACACCTGATATTTCAGCTTTCCATCCTTGAAAAGGCGCAATTTATGTTGACGTTCCAAAGTTTCGCCGTAGACATGATTTAAGTCCACCTACAAGAGAGAGTTTATCGTTGACTTTCGATCACGCTCTTTGAACTGATGAGTCAACAAAACAATTTCTCTGCAAAGCTAGTTGATCTACACGTGATAGGAAAAGTGTTCCTTTGAGTCTCCAAAAAGTCAGGTGCTTCATCATCAGATGTTGTTGTTATTATTATTATTATTATTATTATTATTTTGGGTCCCACCCGGCGATGCTCAGGGCTACCTCCTGGCTTTGCCCTCAGGAATTACTCCTGGCGGTGTTCAGGGGACCCTATGGGATGCCGGGGATCGAACCCAGATTGGCTGAGTGCAAGGCAAACGCCCTCTCCGCTGTGAGATGGCTCTGGCCCCAGTATTAGTATTTTTGACTTGGGGGCCACACCCAGCAGTCCTCAGGGCTTACCTACTCCTAGCTTTGCACTCAGAGATCACTCCCCAAAGAGCTGGGGGGCAAAACTAGGTTGGCTGCATGCAAGGCAAGCACCATACCTGCTGTACTATCACTCCAACCCCCAGGGACTTTAGGGCGTTTGCCTTGCGGCAGCCAGCTCTGCCAAGCCGGGTTCGATTCCTCCGCCCCTCTCGGAGAGCCTGGCAAGCTACGGAGAGTATTCAATATGCCAAACACAGTAACAAGAAGTCTCACAATGGAGATGTTACTGGGCCCGCTCGAGCAAATCGATGAACAGCGGGAGGGCAGTGTTTGTTTGTTTGCTTGCTTTTTTTGGGTCACACCCAGTGATGCTCAGGGCTACCTCCTGGCTTTGCCCTCAGGGATTACTCCTGGCGGTGTTCAGGGAACCCTATGGGATGCCAGGGATCGAACCCAGGTTGGCCGCACACAAGGCAAATGCCCTCCCCACTGTGCAATCGCTCCAGCCCCACTTACTTTATTTTTAAAAAGCACAAAATGTTTCAAAAGCAACTTCTCCTCCCTATGTAAAAACCACTGTTATCCTCTTCTCTTCTTTCCTAACCCTTTATTTTGAGCATCGTTTTATTCTGTCTTATTGGGGGTCACCTCTGGCAGTGCTCAGGGCTGACTCCTGGCTCTGCGCTCAGGAATCACTCCTGGTAGGTTTTCAGGGGACCCTATGGGATGCCGGGGATGGAACCGGATCAGCTGTGTGCCAGGCCAACAATCTCCCCGCTGGGCTATCGCCCCAGCCCGGCCATAGTTTGGAAGTGGCGAACTCACCCCGTGGCCCAGGCCTTTGGTGAAGGCTGGTCCCCGCTTATGGTCCGTCTTGAAGAACTGATGGGTAAAGTGCTGAGCAAAGAAAGCGAACATCATGTTGGTGCCTTGGGGGTCCGGGATGAACTTCCGTCGGAGAAGCACCTTCTCCACCACGTCCTTGGAGGCAGGGAGCTCTTTCTTTCCTAGAAAAGTCGGCAGGGCAGAGGTCAGCGTCCCCCGAACTCAGAGAGGCCAGCGCCGACCGCACTGGGGAGAGCAGTCACTGCTCCAGCTTGGGGCATCATCTAAATGGAGCTACAGGATACTGCAGCCACGCGACATCATATGTTCTTCATAACCAGCAATAGAAAAAAACAAATTGTCTACTGTTGCCTTTTCAGCAGATCTGCGTGTTGGGGTAAAAATCCCAAATAATAATGGTGGGTCTGGTGTCGAAAGATTGAATGTGATCAAAGTAGAGAGAGGGTCATGTGGAAATCATCTGCCCCACAGGTAGGGGGAGGGTGTGGGATGGGGGGATACTGGGGTTGTTGGGGGTGGAGAATGGGCACTGGCTGAAGGTATGGGTGTTTCACTGTATGACTGAGACTTAGTCCCGAAAGCTTTGTAACTGCTCTCATGGCGATTCAATAAATAAAATGATAAAAAATGAATAAATAAATAAACCAAGCTACACAAATCGCTTCCCCCGCCCCTTTTTTGCTTTTTGGGTCACACCCGGCAATGCACAGGGGTTCCTCCTGGCTCTGCACTCAGGAGTTAGTCCTGGCGGTGCTCGGGGGACCCTATCCCTATGGCATGCTGGGAATCGAACCCAGGTCGGCCGTGTGCAAGGCAACCGCCCTACCTGCTGTGCTATCGCTCCAGCCCCTCCCTTCCCCCTCTTTCTTCCATTTTACTGAATTATTCAAGGAAATTCAAAGTCATGATTCAATGACTCCTTCGATGGGGTGAATCGGTGTTAATGCATGGACCAGAAGTATTCAGACGCACATGGTCATTTTCATAGACTAGCTTCACTGTCAGAAAAATTCACATTTTTAGAGTCTAACACCCCACAGAGAACTGTACCAAGCGGTGTGCTTCCGAGTTGGACTGAGGGGTGAGGGGGTGGCAATCTGGCCTCCACCACTACCGGGAAGCCCTTGGGGCTTGCTCCTGCTCACTCACCTTTCACACCCAGTGGAGTGGGGCAGTCGTCGGGCACAGGCGGCAGCGCCCGGGTGTAGTAGGAGAGGTTGGAGAACGCCTCCCAGCTCTTGTAGCTGTAGTGCACGTTGTAGGTCGGTGGGCTGTCAATCAAGTGCGACCTGGCTGAAATGTTTAAAGGAGAATGGTTTCATTTCTTCCTGGACGCACGAGAAATTCACCCTTCACTGTCCTTGTGGCAATACAAATCAAACTTAATCCTGATCAACCAGGGACAATCACTCCCTTTTTCAAAAACATTTGTCTTTTTAGCCTGTCACTTGCACCTCATGAAATATATATTTTAAATATTTAAAATATATATACATAGATATATGGAGGGGGGGCTTATGTCTTTAATAAGATAGAAAGCTTTTTTTTGGGCTTTTTGGGGGTCACATCTGGCGATGCTCAGGGGTTCCTCCTGGCTCTGCACTCAGGAATCACTTCTGGTGGTGCTCGGGGGGCCCTCCCTGCTGTGCTATGGTTCCAGCCCCCTAAGATATGAAGCTTTTATATACTCATTAGGGTCTGGGGCCTGAATTTTCCAAGTAGCCACCTCATATACTGTTTTTGTTTTTTTTTTTTAAATGGGGATCAGGGCTTTAATATATGGGTGGGGGGGAGGGTCAGGGCAGTTATTAAACAATATTTTCATATTGTTTATAATAATGGGCTGGAACGATAGCACAGCGGTAGGGCATTTGCCTTGCGTGCAGCCAGCCCGGCAGAGCCGGGTTCGATTCCTCCGCCCCTCTTGGAGAGCCCGGCAAGCTTCCGAGAGTATCTCGCCCGCACGGCAAAGCCTGGCAAGCTCCCGGTGGCGTCTTCGAGATGCCAAACACAGTCACAACAAGTCTCACAATGGAGATGTGACTGGGCCCGCTTGAGCAAATCGATGAACAACAGGACAGTGTGACAGTGTTATAATATTTTGTATATAATCACGATCACGATCATCCTGTTGTTCGTCAATTTCCTCGAGCAGGCACCAGTATATAATAATAAACTACAAAAATAATATTATTTTGCTTAGAATAAACAATTATTATTAACAAAATAATAAGCAAATATTAAACAATATTTTCTCAACATGTGGTTTTTTTCAGTCATGTAGGAGCACTGCTATTTATACAGCCACTGATTAAGCTGATTGAGCTGGGCATGAACTCCACATTAAATGTCCCAAACTGAACCCTACTTGGAGTTGGGGGGAGGTAGAAGGACACCATTGATCCAGGCATCACGAGAGAAAGCAACATGACTGGGATCTTGAGGGGCCAGAAAGATTGTACAGTGGTCAGGGCGCTTGCGTTGCATGTAGCAGCCGACCCGACTTCCATCCCTGGCACCAGGACTTAACCCTAAGCACCACCGGGCGAGCCCCCAAGACTGTCCTCCCGTTGTTCATCGAATTTTGCTCGAGCGGGCCCAGTAACGTCTCCATCGTGAAACTTGTTGTTACTGTGTTTGGCATATATTGAATTCGCCACAAGGTCAGAAATACGTCTGGGATTCCCTGGGTCACCCGGAGTCCTACCCAGAGCACATTGTGGTACTTACACGTCAGGACGTATTTCATGATGGCGTCTCTCAGGAAGGGGATGCTATTGATGACGTTCCACATGCCCTTGAAGTGGGTGAGTATGTAGTGCACTGTGTCAGGGGTGGGCTTCAGGGAGAGCTTGATCCAGGTCAGAAACTCGGCTGCATATAGGGAGGACGGGGGCGAACAGATGAATACCGGGGGCCCTTGGGGGGGAGGGTGGGTAGCCCACTAGGGCACCAGCCCAGCCGACTCACGTGTGGTGCAGTTCTCCCCGTAGAAGCCGGTCCGGGTGCAGTCACACCAGTAGCTGTCCACGCCTGAGCTCATGCACACACCCCGGTTCTGGCATGGGCTCGAGCAGCATGGGTTTGCTGCAGGAGAGAAGGGTGGGTCTGATTAGCAGGGGTCAAAGGCAAGGGGGGTACTGAGCCTCTCCAGGGAGCACTGAGCCTCTCCAGGGAGCACTGAGCAGCATCTCCGGGGAGCACTGAGCAGCATCTCCAGGGAGCACTGAGCCTCTCCAGGGAGCACGGAGCCTCTTCAGGGAGCACTGAGCATCTCCAGGGAGCACTGAGCATCTTTGGGGAGCACGAAACATCTTCGGGGAGCACTGAGCATCTCCGGAAGCACTGAGTATCTCTGGGGAATACCACTGTGGTCCTTGGGGGAAGGCGCTAGCCAAGCTGGGTGCCAGGCCCAGGTCTCAGCTGCTACTCTGAGCCGGGTGCTGAGGGTGCAAACCCGGGGCCCAAAGTCTGAGTATCCTCCCGACACCAGCAGGACCGGACCGACACCAGCAGGACCCGACCGACCCTGCAAACGCGCTCAGGATGCCGGCGTCCTGCTAGCGCGCTCTGACCCCGCTCAGCGCTGGGACCCCCGGTCTCAGCTCCCTCCATCCCGGTCCCGATCCACTCCGGGACCCGGTCTCAGCTCCCCCACCCCGGTCCCGGTCCGGTCCGGTCCTTACCTGCGTGTCCGAGCGCCAGCGCCGCGCACAGCAGCAGAATCAGGAACAGCGTGCGGGGCATCGGGGCGGTCCGTGCGGGCAGTGCGGGGGTTCGAAGCGGTTCTGGCGCAGGTTCGGAACGGGTCCGGGTTCGGAGCGGTGCTGGCGCAGGTTCGGAGCGGGTCCGGAGCGGTTCTGGCGCGGTCCGGAGCGCGGGCGCAGGAGCGAGTCTGGAACGGTTTCTGGAACGGTTCTGGAACGGTTTCTGGCGCGGTTCTGGCGCGGTTCTGGCGCGGCTCGGCGCGGTCCGGCGCGGCCCGGAGGTTCTGTGCGGAGCCCACGACTCCAGTGGAGCTAACGGGGCAGCGACGCTCCTTATATGCGCGCGCGCGCGGCCACGTGATCCACGGGCTCCGCCTCGGCCAGCGCTGCCCCTTGCGCAAGGGCTGACCCCCGCCGGAAGCGCCGCGGGGCGGCCCCCGCGCCGGCCGGACCCCCGCGCCGACCCCAGGCGCCGACCTCGCCCCCGGCCCCGGGGCGACCCCTTCCCCACCCCAGAGGCCCCCCGGGCGACCCCTTCCCCTACCCCGGGCATCCCCGTGTGGTCCCAGAGCTAGGCGACACCGCCAGGAACTGTCCGGGCTTGGGGAGAGGCCGGGGGTCGTCCCAGCGCCGGGCAGGGGCGCAGGGGGAGGGAGGGAGGGGAAAGGGGGTGGTTTCCCGCAGGGAAGGATTTGGGGGGCGACTTCCCTCTGCGCCTGGTGCGTCCCGTCACTGCTGGGAGAAACAAGAAGCGCCAGGTATGTTTTTTTTTCTTTCTTTTTTTTTTTTTGTCTTTTCTGCTACTTTCTGCGCAGAAGGACTCCGGCTGGGGCCACTTTGGCAAGCAGCGGGTGGAGGAGAGGCAGAGACTGGCCTGGGTACCCCGGGGTCTCCGGGCGGTTTGGGGGTCCCTCCTGTGGAATGACTTCCCTATTAAAAGGACTGACCCTCTCCCAGACCCCCCTTAATTTCCCCCCGGTGTATCTGATGATGTATCTCTTTTTAGATGTATCTTTTATTTAGATGTATCTTTTTAGATGTATCTGTTAGATGTATCTTTTATTTAGATGTATCTTTTTTAGATGTATCTTTTATCTCGATGTATCTTTTAGATGTATCTTTTGAGATGTATCTTTTATTTAGATGTATCTTTTTTAGATGAATATTAACTCCACCTCCCGGCCTGGCCCTCAGGCCCGGTGATAAGAGTTCTGCCCTCCCCCCAGACCTGGCCCCTCCTTTGTTTAGCCCAGAGATCAGATGGACAGCCCACCCCCACCCCCACGACCCCACCCAGCCGGGCTCTTAATCCTGGACCCCAATGCCAGTGTCCTGAAGCCCACCTTTCTCTGTTTTGTCCTATACCCCCCTGGACAAGATTTTTTTTTTTGCGGGGGGGGGACACACATGAGTTCCATCAGGACAGGTGACCAGCTGGGGAGTGACCCGCTGTGCTCGAGCCAGTGATTCACTTCTTTGAATAAGCAAAGTGAATTTATTTGCCAGCCAGTGAGAACCCAAAGCGAGGGACCATCATCCCCCCTCACGGGTCCTAGTGAAACGTAGTTTTATCATTATTATCATTATTATTTTTATTTCTTAGTATTATCATCATTTTTATTATTATGCCAGGCAGTGCTCAGGGCTTACTCCTGGCTCTGTGCTCAGGGCTCACTCCTGGCAGCTTTGGGGGGACCCCAGGAGGGTGACAGCGGAGAGAACCCAAGCCACGGACTAGCCAAGCGCCCTCCCCGCTGAGTTATTGCTCCAGCCCCAAAGTGACCCAGAATTCACTGGCTGGGTGCCTGGCAGGCTGCCCTGACTTCCAGGTTCCTGCTGGCCCTGGGGTGATATGGAATTAAGAAGCATTCAGTGAGAAGAATAAAAATGTCCTGAATTCTCCAAGTAAGTGGGAAAGTGGCATTGAATTTCGAATCCAGCTAGAGCACAGAGCTCCATTTGTAGATGCCTCATAGATGGGAGACGTAACACAGCGGGGAGGGCGTTTGCCTTGCATGTGGCCGACCCGGGTTCGATTCCTCCATCCCTCTCGGAGAGCCCGGCAAGCTACCGAGAGTATGCCACCCGCATGGCAGAGCCTGGCAAGCTCCCCGTGGCATATTTAATATGCCAAAAATAGTCACAACAAGTCTCACAATGGAGACGTGACTGTTTGCCCGCTGGAGCAGATCGATGGACAATGGGAGGACAGTGCTACAGTGCTCTCTTCACTCTTGGACACAGTATGTGATGCTTTATAGAAATGTGACAGCCAAAACCTCCCAGAGGAAATCCTGAATCATGGGTCGCTTTGATCCGTCACCCACAGTCTTTCCTCTGTTTAACCTACAAAACCTTCGATAAAATCTCAACATTAAGTAGTCTTTAAAAAAAAAATTCCTTTCAAGAACTCGAATCTTCCGATTCATTTTCAGTGAGTCTATGGTCCCGCCTCAGATTGTAAATGGATATTGAGAATTTCTAATTTGAGCTTGCTTAGCTGACACAGAAGAATTCAAATACTGGGGCCAAGCAGGTGACTCAGAGCACGAATTTTGCATGAGGGACTTTCAGCCTGGCGACTGCATGAGCTTCTTTTTTTTTTCTTGGGGTCACACCCACAGATGCACAGGGGTTACCCCTGGCTTTGCACTCAGGAATCACTCCTGGCAGTGCTTGGGGGACCATATGGGATGCTGAGAATCGAGCCCGGCTGGCCGCATGCCAGGCAAAAACGCCCTCCCCGCTGTGCTATCACTCCAGCCCCTGCATGAGCGTGGGTCAAAAAAATAAATTTATACCCAGGTGTATTGACATGATTCTTGAATTTGTTTGTTTTGCTTTTGGGGTCACACCCCGTGATGCTCAGGGGTTCCTCCTGGCTCTGTGCTCAGGGATCACTCCTGGCTGTGCTCGGGGGGACCCTATGGGATGCTGGGGATCGAACCCAGATCAGGACCCACCCAGGAGACAGGGAGGCAGATTCTGGGTTGGTTCTAGGGTAGTGGAGAAGCTGAAGAAGAAGCAACACTTGAAGGGTGTCAACCCTGAGGAAGACCAATGTGGGCTGGGGAGAACCGTGATGAAATGACTTACAAGATAATTCACAAGTTTGAGACAATGGAATGGAATGAGCAGTACATTAGCCGGCTACAATGCTCCAAACCATACCAAGACGGTTAAACCTGTTTCACGTGGAAAAGTACTGTGACTCCTAGGAGTGCCATGGAAACAGAAAACTCACATAAAGAGATCGCTCCTACTCCCGTACGCATTTAGTGTATGGTTGGGGCAAACACATGGATCTGTTCTATGGCTTTTTTTTTTTGATCCTTCTAAAGCTTCTTGGGATATGCTGTGTGGAGGGAAAATTAAAAAAAAGTATTGAAAACCTTCCAGAACCTTCCATTGCATTTGACTGCCACCTTCTGCTACTCCCGTTACTATCAGCTTTGGTGGATGCCCTAGAAAGAGACAGAACATGTTCAGTTCTAGTGATCAGCCACTCACCAGAGTTCAAGGAAATGAGCAATTAAAACCTCTGAACGCTCAGATTACAAATCCCTCCTCTCGGAAGCCAGGAAGCTGTGATTTCAATGCGAGGGTTGACTCCCGACGCTGTCTCTCAGGGCTGACTCCGGGTGATGCTCAGGGATCACTCCCGGCTCTGTGCTCAGGGCTGACTCCGGTCTCTGTGCTCAGGGCTGACAACTGGCTCTGTGCTCGGGGCTGACTCCCGGCTCTGTGCTCAGGGCTGACTCCCGGCTCTGTGCTCAGGGATCACTCGCAGCTCTGTGCTCAGGGATCACTCCCGGCTCTGTGCTCAGGGATCACTCCCGGCTCTGTGCTCAGGGCTGACTCCGGTCTCTGTGCTCAGGGCTGACAACTGGCTCTGTGCTCAGGGCTGACTCCTGGCTCTGTGCTCAGGGATCACTCGCAGCTCTGTGCTCAGGGATCACTCCCGGCTCTGTGCTCAGGGCTAACTCCCGGCTCTGTGCCCAGGGCTCACTCCTAGTGGTGGTCAGGGGCACCACATGTGGTCCTGGGAATTGAACCGCAGGTCAACCTTGTGCAAGACAAGTACCTTTCCGCACTGAACTCTCTTCAGCCCTGGTGGTTGAATCACCAAAGCAACCAAGCGTCCTCCAAAGAGTGGGTGCACAAGAATAGCCGAGATCAGTACCAGGAGGATTACTCCATGGCTTAGAGGCCAGCCGGGCATTCTGGGGGAAAGGGCAGCTCAGATAGAGAAGGGAGCACCAAATAAAGGGTGTTGGGAGGATCCTCCCAGGATGGGAGAAGCACGCTGAAAGTAGACTATAGACCGAACATGATTACCTCTCAATGCCTCTTTTGCATATCACAACACCCAAGAGGAGAGAGAGAACAAAAGGGAATGCCCTGCCACAGAGGCAGGGTGGGATGGGGGGGATGGGGGTGGGAGGGATACTGGGATCCGTGGTGGTGGAAAATGGGCACTGGTGGAGGGATGGGTATTCGATCATTGTATAATCGAAACCCAAGCACAAAAATTTGTAAGTCTACAAATGTACCTCATGGTGTTTCACTAATAAAAATATATATTAAAAAAAAAAGAGTGGGTGCACTGCCAGACAGCAGTGGACACTCAGCATGGACTGGGCGCTGACCCGTCAGGCTAGGAGGGGCCTTGGAGGCCTTTCGAGATGGGTGACTAAGAGAAAGGGCCAGATCAGAAAGGGCTGCATAGCGGGGAAGGTGTTTGCCCTGCGTGTGGCCAGGCTGGGTTCGATCCCCGGCATCCCATAGGGTCCCCTGAGCACCACCAAGAGTGATTCCAGGAGTAACCCCTGAGCATCGCCAGGTGAGACCTCCCCCCAGAAAAAGAAAAAGAAAAGGCTACCCAGTGGGTGATACACCCACTACACACTTGTCTTATCGGTCAGGATGTTGGCAGTGTGAGGGTGTACAGGGGATGACAGTTCCCTGAGGCTGTGGTACCCACCAGGAAGGCTGACAGGGAAGAGCTAACGGGATCTCTGTCCTTATGTCCCACTGTCT